TTGGCCTAGGGGGTAGGCCTAGGGGTGGGCCTAGGGTAGGCCTACCCTCCGGGCTCTATATGCTTAGGTCTACCTTAGGTCATTGGGTAAGGCCTACCCTAGGTCTACCCTAGGGCCTTGGGTAGAGCCTACCCTAGGCCACCCTAGGGCCTTGGGTAGGGCCTAGGGTAGGCTACCCTAGGGCCTTGGGTAGGGCCTACCCTAGGCTACCCTAGGCCCTTGGGTAGGGCCTAGGGTAGGCTACCCCCCCCCGGTTCTATACCCGTGGAGCACCCTCTTGGGCCGTCTTGGGCACCTCTTGGGCCGTTCTGGGGCCTTCTTGGAGACAGACCTCTTGGGCTGTTTGGGGGCGATCTTAGGGGCCTCTCGGGCCGTCCTGGAGCGTCGGGAAGCTAAAACAGCGAGAATGACAAAACCTTTCAAAAAACCAACGACTAATCACTGATGTGTGCCTCTTGGGGTCCTGTCGGGGGGCCTCTTGGAGGCCTCTTCGGGCGTCTTGGGGGCATCTTGGGCCGTCCTAGGGGCCGTCGTGGACGTCTCGGAGCGACCTTTTGGCAACTCGGGGCCCTCTTGGCCAATCCTTGGAGGCCTCTTGGAGCCCTCGTGGCCCCCCTCCTTGGGGCCCTCCTGGGCCCGACAGGGTCACGCGACAAAGCGCGACAGGGCCCCACGGGCCGCGCGGCGCGCCCCTGCCGATTCGGCAGTCTTGGGTCCGGGCCCCTGGAGGAATCCCCGGGAGGGAAGGCTGAGGCCCCAGGGGGTCCAACAAATGGACCTGGGGACAAACCCAACTCTTGCCTCGAGGGCACGCAGGCGGATCTTCCTCGGGAGCGGCAGGAGCCCTGCGCGCAGCGCCATCCGGCATCTCTCGCCTTCTTCTCCAGGCCTCATCTCCCTCCTCGCCTTCTGCCCACCCCCATGCTCCACCCCCCCCACTTCCGGCTCATCATCCATTTATTCGTCGCCGCTCGGACAGGTCAATTTGCCTCGTGCCGCGGGGCCACCGCACAAGTCCAAGTGTCTAACCATTTCAGAGGGTGCAGATGCGATCTCGATGGTGGAGCGGATCCGCCAGACGATCTCGCAGCAGTCGACGTCGATGAGGGTTTCAGGCAGTCGGGTGCTGATGCGCTGCAGCCAGTTTTCCAGCAAAGCAGACGATGGATCGGCGCGTTGTCTCAGATCATAGGTCACTGCAAGCTGCCGTCGACGTCTCCATCACTTTTCCTCACCCGGGCCCTCGGATCTGAAGAGCACCCGCCATTGTTCTTGCCGAGCGTTTGCGTTCGACCACTGCCACCGAGTTACCATTCCTGTCGACGCTAGAGCCACTTGGACGATGCGGTGTTGCTGCGTGTCTGCATGGATGGGTCTGTGGGAGCTTTCCGGCGTGGTCTGGGGACGGGGTCTCCTGCATTCGGGCGACGAGATCTATACATATCCACTGCTCCTTGGCCGGCCCCTCCTGAACCCAGGAGCCGTGCAGACGCCTTCCTGGTCAAGCCCAGGAGGGCGTGGCATACACGCCGCTTCTGGGCTTGGGACGGGCCTGGCCAGGAGGAGGAGGAAGGAGGAGGAGGAGGAGGAGGAGAAGGAGGAGGGAGGAGGAGGAGGGAGGGGGAGGGAGGGTGGATGGGGGAGGAGGGGGAGGAGGAGGGAGGAGGGAGGAGGGAGGAAGGGAGAGGAGGGAGGAGGAGGAGGAGGAGGAGGGGAGGAGGAGGAGGAGGAGGAGGAGGAGGAGGGAGGAGGAGGAGGAGGAGAGGGAGAGAGGAGAGGAGGGGACGAAGGAGGAGGGAGGAGGGAGGACGGAGAGGGAGGAGGAGGAGGAGGAGGAGGAGGAGGAGGAGGAGGAAAGAGGAGAGGAGTAGGAGGAGGAGGAGGAGGAGGAGGAGGAGGAGGAGGGAGGAGGGAGGAGGGAGGAGGAAGGAGGGTGGCCCGCGGCGGGCGCTTCGAAGGGCACCCCCGGGCCGGCGCCGCCGCGGCGCCGCGGCCCGCTCCCGACACGGGGCGCGCCACCGTTGAGGTCCGACTGGCGCGGAGAGACCGCGAAGAGTCGCGCGCCGCAGCGTTTCGGGAGGGAGGAAATACAGGCCTCGGACAAAAATTAGCGAACACTCATGCCACATTCATCTGTGAACGCCTCCCCCTCCCCCCAGTGTTCAAATGTTGGCGGTGGGTCTGATGAGTTGCGCCTCGACCGCAGTCTCCCCCCCCCCGCGTGCCAACTTTGAGTTTGGGGGGCAGGGGGGGTGTTCACTAATTGTTTCCTTCTATCGTATGCATAGATCTGTGGAGGACGATCAATGGAGAGGAAGCGCGTTGCCAAATACTGCCCAGCTGTCTGGAAAATGTGTGAAAGCTGGCTTAAGCATGTCAAAAAAAAACATGCTCCCAACATTTTCATGGCAATTTCCGACATTCTAAACACCTTTTTAACGTTCGATGATTGGACTGTTAGGGTGCCCATTCTCGTGGTATCCACAAGCGTAGATTTGCTGTCCCTGGCCGCTCCCGCCCACGACGCCCGCGGACAAGCCGCGCTGCCGTGCGCCGCGCCCGGGAGCCCGGCCTGGTCTGGCGGCCGGGCGCGCCCCTGATCTCCTGCGTGCACCGGGCCGCAGTGGGCCCATTTGCGTGGCTCCTTCCGCAGACGTGCCTAGACGAAGACGAAGACCACCCTTCGGGCGATAAGGAGATTGGGGGGCGAGGGTGATGTCGGTGTGCGCCCCCATCAGCAGCGACCTGGCTCGGTGCTTCCTCACCTTGTGCTTGGGACTGGTGCTATTGCTCGCCGCCGAAAGCCGGCCCTCCAACAAAACCAGCGCTCCGGCTCGATAGTCCCCCCCTTTTGACTCAGGACCGGCGCTCGCGCCACACAATGGCTGGCAAATGCGAAGGGTGCGATGATGGCGATGCTGGTGACGCGCCCTCGAGTCAGCGACGACGCGCGATGAAGATGTTGCGCTGCGGCGCACTGCCACCATCGCCCCCCTGCGATCTCATACCCTAACCTCCGACCAACTCGTACAGTCGGCCCGGATGAGTAGGTCGACCCTGCCAGCTCAAGGGCACCATTGTGTCCTGTGCCTCGCGACGCGTGCCTTCTCACACTCCTGTGGTGATGTGGCCCTCGGAAGGGTCACGTGTCCTCTCGCGTGTCCTGCCCGACCAGGGCCCAGTGTACAGTCAAGACGCTGACACAAGGAACGGTTTAGGTTCGGAAGGGGTTCGATGTTCCCTGGGCTCCTCCAGTGATGTTCCTGTTGCCCTCCTGGGGCACGGAGGCGCTTACAGTCGGGGCGCGGAAGAAGGAACCCTATGCGTTGGGGAGGGGCTCGGTGTTCCTTGATTGTTTCACAGCTTGCCTCAGGCTTTCCTTCTGTCTTCGATGGGACATCGAAGTTCAACTTATGGTAAAAAGGGGCCTCGTTCCTGATTTAGGGTGCCTTAGGTCAACGCCCCGACTGTGCAGGGCCCGACTGCAGTCACCTGTGTGCTCCAGGCGTGCCGCCGCGCCGCTGGTGGCCGACGCGCGGCCTTCCGCTCTGGGCGGGGCGCCGCGGCCCGGCGCGCGCGGCCTTCCCCGCCCTCGGGCAGGGCGCCGCCGCGGCCACCGCGGGCGAGCGCCGCCTCGGGCGGAGGAGGAGGAGGAGGAGGAGGAGGAGGGAGGAGGAGGAAGGAGGAGGGAAGGAGGAGGAGGAGGAGGAGGAGGAGGAGGAGGAGGAGGAGGAGGAGGAGAGGGGGAGGAGGAAGGAGGAGGGGCGGCGCGGCGGAGGAGAGAGGAGGAGGAGGAGGTGGAGGAGGAGGAGGGGGAGGAGGAGGAGGAGAGGAGGAGGAGGAAGGAAGGAGGGAGGGAGGAGGAGGAGAGGGGGGGAGGAGGAAGATGAGGAGGCGGCGGCGGCGGCGCGGAGGATGAGAGGAGGAGAGGAGGAGAGAGCAGGAGGAGGAGAGGAGGAGGAGGGGAGGAGGTGGAGGAGGAGGAGGAGGAGGAGGAGAGGAGGAGGAGGAGGAGGAGGAGAGGGGAGGAGGAGGAAGATGAGGGAGGCGGCGGCGGCGGAGGAGGAGGAGGAGGAGGAGGAGGAGGAGGAGGAGGAGGAGGAGGAGGAGGAGGAGGAGGAGGAGGAGGAGGAGGAGGAGGAGGTGGGAGGAGGAGGAGGAGGGGAGAGGGGGAGGAGGAGGAAGATGGGAGGCGGCGGCGCGGCGCGGAGGAGAGAGGAGGAGGAGGAGGAGGAGGGGGTGGAGGAGAGAGGAGGTGGTGGGAGGAGGAGGAGGAGGAGGAGGAGGAGGAGGAGGAGGAGGAGGGAGGAGACGAGAAGATGAGGAGCGGCGGCGGTCGCGGAGGAGAGAGGAGGAGGAGGAGGAGGAGGAGGAGGAGGAGGTGGAGGAGTTGTTTTTCTCCGCGGCGCTGGCGTCGTCCACCTGTCGGCGGCGAGGGAGGGGGGGGGATTGAGAGGGAGAAGGCCTCCTCAGACGGCGGCGGGGCCTCTCAGAAGCCCTCGCGCCTCCCGAGGAGCTGCTCCTGTCTCCGGGGGAGGCTCAGGAAGCTTCTCGGGAGTCTCGGGGACTTCCGAGCCTTTGAGAAGGCACGCCCCGTCTCACTTCCCCCCCCTGGCTCGCCGCCTAACCTGGGGCGCGGAGCGCAGGGTTTGCCGTGGGTTTGCCGTGGTGTCGGCGTCGGCCATTTGGGCGCGTCGGGGACGAGCGGCGCGGCGACGTGTCTCCTTCGGGGGCTGCACGGGGGGCGGCTCGCGCGGAAAAGCAGGCGCGGCGGGAGCGGCCTGGGCCCTCGCGCGCGCGAGGGTCGTCCTGCTGCGCCACCCCGATGTTCCACCCAAGGTTTTCGAGGACGGCCAGGCGCACCCCCTCGTCGCTCCTCCGCACTGCTGCTCCCTCTGGTTTCCCACGTCCTCGGCGGCGCGGTTCACGAGGCAACCGCAGGGGCACCAGGCTTGCGTCGCGCTGTCATATTGGGGAGGGGGATAGAGAGCCCTGCGCGGAGGCAAACAGCAAGGGCGCCGACAGCTACTTCCACTCCAGGGAGGGCGTCAGCGTCGGCGTGGCGGACGGAGTCGGCGGGGCGGGCGCGTCCCTCCTCTGGTTCTGCCCCCCGTCTCTTGGGTGTACCCTCCCCCCGTGCACTCCCGCCCGCCTGCTGCCCCCCCTTCCCCAGGGGCACCGCTGGGGTGTGGCGGGGGGGGGTCGGCTCACGGGGGGAACGCATCGACCCCCGATCATTTCTATCCGATAAGGGCTTCGTGGCCTGCCGGTCCGCCCGCGAACCCGAGGCTTCGCGGTCGAGGGCGCCCGCGGACCCATCGGCGACGTACGCCCCCGATTCCAGGTCGACGCTTTTCTCTCCCCCGAGCCTGCCCCCCCCCCCCCCTGTGGATCTCCCCCCCCCAGGCTTCCTCCGGCCCACCCCCTTTCCTTGAGTCGGGCCTGTCCCTCTACAGGGGGAATGCTCAAAAAGAGTCCAAAAATTAGCCTGGCGAAGAACCCAACCATATGCAGTTGTGAGTACCGCAGCTGTGGGTTTCATCTTCAATGGAACTCCCCATAAGACCACGGAACGTGTGAGGGGTGAGCCGAGATGGGTGCCACTGGAGCGCCCTATGGGGCCATGAAACACGTGCGGGGTGTGCCAACATGAGTGGCGGAAGCGCATGTGAGGGCCGCCACAGGGGCCTCCAGTGGAGCTCCCTTTGGGGCCACGAAACATGCGGGGGGGGTGCCGGGATGGGTGGCGGAGACGCATGTAAGTGCCGCCACTGGGGCCTTCGGTGGAGCTCCCTATGGGGCCACGAAACGTGTGAGGGGTGTCCGGGATGGGTGGCGGAGACGCATGTGAGCGCTGCCACTGGGGCCTTCGGTGCAGCTCCCTATGGGGCCACGAAACGTGTGAGGGGTGTGCCGAATCGGGTGTGCGGGTGACCCATGCGGGCGGTGCCACTGGAGCCTTCGGTTGAGCTCCCTATGGGGCCCCGTAACCTGTGAGGGGCGTGCCGAATTGGGTGGTGGGGACGCATGTGAGTGCGGCCACTGGGGGCTTCGGTGGAGCTCCCTATGAGCCCACGAAACGTGTGAGGGGTGTGCCGACTTGGGTGTGGGTGACGCATGCGCATGTGAGCGCCGCCACTCGGGCCTCCGGTGAAGCTCCCTATGGGGCCACAAAACGTTTGAGGCGTGTGCCGACCTGTGTGTGGGTGACGCATGCGCATGTGAGCGCCGCCACTGGGGCCTTCGGTTGAGCTCCCTTTGGGGCCACGAAACGTGTGAGGGGTGTGCAGAAATGGGTGCGGTGGGTGCATGGGAGCGCAGCCACTGGGGCCTTCGGTGGAGCTCCCTATGGGGCCACGAAACGTGTGAGGGGTGTGCCGAAATCTGCGCGGTGGGCGCATGGGAGCACAGCCACTGGGGCCTTCGCTGGAGCTCCGTATGGGGCCACGAAACGTGTGAGGGGTGTGCCGAAATGGGTGCGGTGGGCGCATGGGAGCGCAGCCACTGGGGCCTTCGCTGGAGTTCCCTATGGGGCCACGGAACGTGTGAGGGGTGTGCAGAAATGGGTGCGGTGGGCGCATGGGAGCGCAGCCACTGGGGCCTTCGCTGGAGCTCCCTACGGGGCCACGAAGCGTATGAGGGGTGTATTTCTATAGGGTGCCGAAATGGGCGCGGTGGGCGCATGGGAGCGCAGCCACTGGGGCTCTTCGCTGGAGCTCCCTATGGGCTCGATGGCGTTGTGAGGGGTGTGCAGAATGAGGTGCGGTGTCACATGGGAGCGCAGCCCTGGGCCTTCGGTGGAGTCCTATGGGGCCACGAAAGTGTGAGGGGTGTGCAGAAATGGGTGCGGCGGGCGCATGGGAGCGCAGCCACTGGGGCCTTCGGTGGAGCTCCCTATGGGGCCACGAAACGCGTGAGGGGTGTGCCGAAATCTGTGCGGTGGGCGCATGGGAGCGCAGCCACTGGGGCCTTCGCTGGAGCTCCCTATGGGGCCACGAAACGTGTGAGGGGTGTGCCGAAATGGGTGCGGTGGGCGCGTGGGAGCGCAGCCACTGGGGCCTTCGGTGGAGCTCCCTATGGGGCCACGAAACGTGTGAGGGGTGTGCAGTAATGGTTGGCGGTTGGGCGCATGGGGAGCGCAGCTTGGGGCTTTCGTGGAGCTCCCTATGGGGCCACGAAAAACGTTTGTGAGTGGTGTGCCGTTAAATATGCGCGGTGGGGCTTTATGGGAGCGATAGCCACTGGGGCATTCGTGGAGCTTCCTAATTGGGGGCCACGAAAGGATGAGGGGTGGTTTTTTTACGCACATGTTGCCGAAATGGGTGTGCGGGACGCATGCGGACGGCAGCACTGGGGCCATCGGTGGAGCTCCCTATGGGGCCACGAAACGTGTGAGGGGTGTGCCGAACTGGGTGTGGCTGACGCATGCGGGCGGCAGCACTGGGGCCTTCGGTGGAGCTCCCTATGGGGCCACGAAACGTGTGAGGGGTGTGCCGAATTGGGTGTGGCTGACGCATGCGGGCGGTGGCACTGAGGCCTTCGGTGGAGATCCCTATGGGGCCGCGAAACGTGTGACGGGTGATGATGGCGATGATGATGATGGTGGTGATGATGACGTCGATGATGTCGATGATGAGGATGATGGTGATACCGAAACGGTTGCACACGTTTCGTGGCCCCATGATGATGATGACGATGATGATGGTGATAATGACGATGATGATGTTGATGATGATGATGATGATGATGATGATGATGATGATGATGATGATGATGATGGTGATGATGATGATGATGGCAGGAGGGAGGGGGCAGCGCGAGGAGGAGTGAACGCGGGGCGCTGTCTCTTCAAAACGAGGACCCAACACCACAGGATGGTTGGGAAATAGTCTGGTGACAATTTTCTTAATATGTTTGACCATTTTGGGGGCATGTTTTGGGGGTATCTTTTATTTTTCGTCGAACATCCCCCTGTATGGGGGACACGCCCGACTTGCCCTTTCCCCCTCCCCCTCCTCCTCCCCCCCTCTCCGCTCCTCGCTCTCCGGCGAGGGTCGGCCGGGCGCCACCTCGCGCCGCCACGGGCTGCCCCTCATGCCCGGCCCCCTCTCCTCCTCCCCCGCCCTTCTCCTCCCCTCTCCTCTCCTCTCCGCTCCGCCTCCCTCCTCCCCGTGGGCCTTTCAAGATATAATGTTGCATGAGTCCCTCACCGGAATCCTCGATGCAAGATCTTTCCTCCTGCTCTTGCCCTCGTCGGACGCGCCGGTCTCGTGGCGCGCCAGATGCAGGGCCCAGAATCAGAATCCCTCCTCCCCGTTGCCAATTTGGCTCCGCAGCCGTTTTGGCTTAAGTTGGAACCATCGCCCCCATGGCTCCAGCTTGGTCACAGCTGAGGGTCTGGCCCAAGGGTTTGGCCAGACCGACAGGCGGTCGTCTTGCGATCCTTGCAGGAGCGTCAAGCGCTGCGAGCACCATTCCACTCCGAGTTACACGTGGATCCCGCGATGGCGCCCAAGGGCTAGATCGGCGTCACCCAAGCATACTAATACTATGTGTGCGTCGCCCTCCCAGGGGCGACGCGCGAACCGAGAAATCTTATAGTATATGCGTCGTGGCGGGCGTTTTGTGACCACACCGCTCGGGAAACGATATATTACAAGGTGGGCACGCCGCCGAGGAGAACACATCGTATTAGTATGTCCTTGTTCGTCCCACGGGAAGCCAGTGGTGCAGAAGATTTTCGGTAAGGACAAGGACAAAGCCAAGGCGCGGGCTCCGGCATCGCCCGCGGCTGCACTTACGTAACCCAGTGCCGCGGCGCCCATGGCAGCGGCGGCGGCAGCCTCCCTTGGCTCGCCCATGGCTTGTCCACCTGGCCCGCACGACATTTGGGCCGATGCTGCGAACCGTCTTCCGCAGAAGAGGGCGACCAGAGCGGAAGGTGACGCTGACATTAGCACCGCGAAACGCCAGGCCTTGGAGAACCCTTTTTGATGACATGGACGCGGCAACGACCATCATGGAGTTGCTTTGAAGCATCAACTGGAAGCTCGGCACCACGGCCACCAAGGACGACTTCTCTTAGCTGGAGAGCACCGTCAACCGTCACGATGCGACCGTCGACAACCTCACCCAGCGCGTGGCGCAGCTCTAGAGCTTCATGAGCAAGGGGATGGACTCCGCAGTGGAGGCCGCAGTGATGGACGAGATCCTTAGGATCTTGGCCATCACGGCGGCTCATGCAGGCTCTACCTCACCTCCGGGTTCGCCCCACATACTCTTGGAGCGGGTACCGGTTCCGACGCGTTCGCCGTCTTCCTCTTCCGCTGCGACGTCCTCCCCGCCTCCTGGCAGGTCCAGTCTGCAGCCAGCCGGCTTCCTCAGGCCCATCCGGACCCATGATGAGGACGGTGCTCCAGCGCCACGGCGACCGCCTGATGCAGTCGCTACCCGCGGACTCCCGCGAAGGTGCCGTGGTCGAGGGCTACAGTTGACGAACCAACATCACACACCCATACCCATAGGGGGATCGGAGAGGGCTATGGGTACGTGTTGTCGGATGGGGGTCCCCGCTCGAACGGGAGCGTTCCCCGGGGTCCGACAACCCGCACCCATACCCATAGCCAGTCCTGCTCCCAACGACCCCCCTATGGGTATGGGTGCGCGTTGTTCGTTCGTCAACAGTAGCAACAAGTCGTACTCTATCATTTTCAAAGATGACACTTTGGCCAGCGCCTTCGTCGACACCTGTCGCGCCACGCCTCCGGCATGGGCCGACCCCTTCACCGGGGCCGGCGTGGCGCTGCGCTGTCGCCACGACGCCCCCGCTGACTTCACGAAGAAGAACCGTACCCTCGGAGCGCTCTGGCAGAAGGTGTTGGACAACATGCAGGGAGTCACGCTGTGGCGCGCGGAGTCGATGACGCTTGGTTGCCAGGGGCACAAGGGCGACCTCTTTCTTGCAGCCGGCGAAGCGATGGAGATCTTATTCGAGCTCCGCGCCATCTCGGGGCCTCTCGGGGCACTCTTGGGGCCGTCCTGGGAGCCCTGCAGGGCCTCTTGGGGGCCATCTTGG